AAAAAAAAAAAAAAAAAAGAAAGAAAAGAAAATGGGAAAGCATATAAAAAGCATATTTAGAAAAAATATTAAGTTATTATTTATTAAAAATTGAATTATCTTTTATCAGATTCCATTTCTACCCTTTATACTTGATTTTGGAAAAGAATGAAATTGGTATTCAACAAACCAAACATAACTATTCTCTCTCAAAGCTGAACCATATACCTAGTGAGACAAATCAGAGGCGAAGGTGAAAGGGAGATGGCAGTAGCTTTTTGTATAGTCCTTACAGTGGTAAATATTCTACAGAACTGAAAACTACACCTTAGACAACCTTGGTCCTGTCATTGTTGTTTGATTTACAAGCATTATTTATAATCTTCTGAAATAGAAATTAGTTTTTCAAAAGACAGTATTCTATTTTTAAAAGGCAAGTCATAGCTATCTTTTGTTGTAGATGATGATCTAATTCAAGATTTCTTATGGATGGACTGCTGCTGTAAAATTGCAGACAAGGTAAATTCAGTATCAAGATGATCATTAACCAGCATTTATTATGTTACTAGACCTTTAAGTTATCTTTTTTTGTTGAAAACAAGATTCAATATATACTTGATACCTTTTGATCAGGATTACTGTTCTGTATTCTTTCTTCAGAATTATTGGTTTTAATCAAATTGTGGGAAAAAAACTATTCTGAGATTCACCCCACTAAGGAAATCTCTTGTATATTTTAATATTTTGTGAGTAATTCAAATAAAACAAATGCCAGTAACATGTTCTTTATTTAGAAACTAGAAAAAGAATGTCTAAACTAAGAGCACTGATATTTCTATGGGGTTTTTTTGTAGGCACAAATTACAATATTTGTTTCTTGTGCTTTTCTGTTTTGTTTTTTGGGTTTTGGTTGGTTTGTTTGAAATAGCACCTGACTGTGAAGTTCAGGCTGACCTTGAACTCACTATGTTGCTCAGGTTGGTCTCAAACTCTTGGTGACCTTCCTACCTTAACCTTCCAAGTGCTAGAATTACAGGCATGCACCACCATGCCAGCACTGTACTTTTTGAGTTAGCCAAATAGCTGAAATTCAGCTAAATTGGGCATGGTAGCACACACCTCTAATCTCAGCACTAGAGAGGCTGAGGCAGGAGGATCACTGAGAATTTGAGGCCAGCCTGGGGTACAAGGTAAGTTCAAGGCCAGCCTGAACTGCATAGTGAGACCCTATCTCAAAAAGACCAGGAAAACCCACACACACACAAAATTCAGCCATTTTAGACTAAGCAGTCATATAGAAAGTTCACCATAACATCACTTTTCACTTAAAATATAAAAACTAACAGAAAAAGGAATGATCAAAAGCCTAGCTTATGGAGCCAGGAAGATAGCTCAGTGGCACAGCACCTGCCTGGCAAGTGTGAGGTCCCACTAAGTTGGTATTGAACATTTTGTCATACTTAAAATGACAAAACTAAAGGATTTTAGCTAGACATGGTGGCACACAACTGTAATTTCAGCACTCGGGAGGCTGAGGCAGCAAGATCACTGCAAGTCTGAGGCCAGCTTGGGCTACATAGTGAGTTCAAAGCCAGCCTAAATTGCATAACAAGACCCTGTCTCAAAAAAACCCAAACAAAACAAGAAAACAGTTATTGACTTATGGTCATTCTTGATTGTTTCAAACCTTATCTTAAAACTGGATTATTAAAAAAAAAAAAACAAAAAAAACTGGGTTATTTTGCAGCAAATCCCAGACATTATAACATTATGCCCATAAATATTTCTTAATGTATTGCTAAAATATAAAGGCTCTTTTAAAATATAATCACAATGTCACTAATTTTTTTTAAATGAACAGTAAGGCTTTAATATGAAATATCCTGTTTCTGTAGAGTTGTGATTTTTAAATGCTACAGTTTTAAGAGCATTAATGTCATTAGACAGCAGGGGGCAATGTTTGAAAAGTAACTAAAGAAGAGTACTGTATCTTAACGCTGTTTCAGGAATCCTTTACTGGAAGTTGTGAAATTTTCCAGTCACATTGGTATCCCATCCTGTGACTATAGGATGAGTAAATATTTTATGAGAAAGAAAATAATAACTAATAGTACAATTTATTTCTAATTTCAACAGACCTTGGCATGTGTTCTAATAACAGGCTAACTGTATATCTTTCTAATAATATATCTAAACTGTGTTTTCCCCATGCAAATAAAACCATGTTATTCTAATTTCTGAAGTTATTTAGAAGCAGTTTATAAAGGTGATTTTTAAAAGTGAGTATATAAAGAAGAAAAGAAAAAAAAAGGGCATATAGAGCCAGGCTCACATGCCTGTAATCCCAGCTACTCAGGAAGCTGAAGCAGGAAGATAACAAGTATGAAGTCAGTCAGCCTGGGCAACTTAGAGAGATCCTCTTTCAAAATGAAATGAAATGAGGACTTGGTGTAGGTAGCTCAGTGGTACAGTGCTTGCCTAGCAAGGACAAGGCCCTGGGTTCAGTCCCTAGTATGGTATGTGTGTAAGTATAGAAAAGTGATGGCAAACCTTTTAGAGACCAAGTGCCAAACTGTACCCCAAAGTCCACTTACTTATTATAAAGTGCCAACACTGGAATGAAAACTGAGGTTTTAGTTTAGAAAAAAAACCTCACATTAACACAATAGAAAAACACAATAACGTGTTCCTTTTGGTTTACCACTACTGGTGTAGGAGCTGGGGTACAGCATGTGGTTAGTATGTATAAAGTCCTGGGTATAATCTCCAGCACATAAAAAAAAAAAAAGTGAGTATGCCTGGGCATGGTGGCATATGCCTGTAGTCTGAGCATTTAGGAGGCTGAGGTGGGAGGATCACATGAGCCCAGGAGGTCCAGACAAGCCTTAGTCAAAATATCTGCACCCTGCTAAAAAAGAAAACAAGAATATGGATGTCTGTAACTATAAGGGTTTAGAGGAAAGTTTATGTATATGTATACACATACCCAAAGATACCAAGCAAATACTGCATATACGAATTTAAATGAAGGATGTATGATTATTCATTTTACTGTTATTTCAACTTTCTGTAAGTTTGACATTTAAGGTTTACAAGTGAGGTTTTAAACTTTATAGGCTATAATAAAATGTAGGAGTCCATCTAATCAATTTTAATCATAATGATCAATAACTATTTCTAACTACATGGATTAATTATAGGAAATACAAAATAATTCTATGGGTGATTTTGTCATAAGGATAAATAATCTTTTATTCTAGTTTATTCATCAGAAAACTTTAAAATAATTGTATTAAATGCAGTTTTATTTATGAAAGCAAAACATTAATTTTCTAACTTTTTTCTTATAGTATCTTTTGGCTATGACCTTTGTTTATTTCAAGAGAGCTAAATTTACTATACATGAGCATACCAGGATAAATTTCTTTGTTGCTTTGTAAGTATGCTTTTTTGTTTTGTTTATAATGTGTATAATAATCTTACTTAAAACAGAAGTTATTTAAACTTTATGGATATCTTTGTATAGGTTTTTCTGTATAAAAGCTATACATTTTTTACTTTAATAGGAAAACTTTATGTTCTTTTTGCTGACCTTATCATATTATATGCCTAAGATTTATTGTTCAGTATTCCATTTGAGTTTGTATTACACCTTTTACATTTTTCAGTGTGGTCCCATAAATTATTCGAAATTCTCCTGTTTATGACTTAGACTTTTTCAAAGCCAGAATATTCTTTTTAAATTGAGAGTGAATATAATAAAAATGACAATCACTGTTTACATTGAATAGCCCTTTTACATTGAATAGCTTGGATTGGGGGGTTGTTATAAGAAGGATCTCACTATGTACTGAAAGTGGCCTTGAGTTGGTGTGTAGAATCAGGCTAACCTCAAATTCATGATCCTCCTGCCTCAGCTTCCCAAGTGCTGAAGCTCGAGGCAGGTACCACCAATATGCTTAGCTTGAAAATGTTCTAGACATAGTCTTTGTGGGTCTGTGTTCATAGAACAAAAGTTAAAATTTAAGGCCGGGGGTATAGCTCATCAGTGCAGTACCTGCCTGGCAAGAGTGAGGTCCTGAGTTCGATTCCTGGTAACAAAAAAAGTTATTTATATTTAATACTTCTAGTATCTACTGATCTATCTAGTACTAATTTTACTAAATGTACACAACTGTGACAAAGGAATATAGTTTTCTGCTAACTTTACACTATTTCATCTTAGCATTATAATCTGTTAAATGGTTTTAATGATACGATTTTCTAATCTATAGGTTAGAATTCAACTAGAAGAAATATAATTTAAGAATATATATTGGAGGCTGGCAGGAAAGCTCAGTGGCAGAGTGCTTATCTAGTATATGTGGGACTTTGGACTTAATCTCAGCACCCAAAAGAAAATAATAATAATAATGTACTTGGTTTTTTACCCTGTACCTGGATATAATGTTGCAGTTGAGAATGTAGCAGGAATAAAATTTTAAAGAAATAGGATTTGAAAAAACTGACTTTTGCACTTATTAAAGGGATATTTTCTAGTAATAGGGAAAAATGAACTAATTTTAAAATTTGGTGATGATTGCTAAATTGGAAGAATGTAATAGTATTAGCTAATACTAAGTATTAAATGGTAGGTACCACAAAAGCTTTATATACTAATACATCTACTCTAGCCCATGAAATAAATTTTTATTATCCCATTTTACAGATGAGAAAACCAAGACTTGTAAAGATTAGGTGCCTTCCAAAATCACAAAAGTTAGTAAGAACAGAGCTGAGATGCAGATTCAGGTGTGACTGAATTCAACTACTGACACTAAGTTAAATTGCTGTTTACATGTCTCAGTATTATATCTGTATGTTGATGTAATATCTATTTTATACAGTTTTTACCTCCCTAAGGATTTAAAACAGACTAAAAGAAACTTTAGTTTTTTTGTTGTTTTGTTTTTTTAGATATAGGGTCTCACTATGTAGTCCAGGCTAGCCTTCATCTTACTATGTAACCCAGGCTGACCTCAAACTTGTGGCAATTCTCTTGCCTCAGTCTCCTGAATACTGGAATTACAGGTGTGTGCCACCATGCCTGGCAGGAAACTTTAGTTTAAATCTTCTTAGGAGCTTGAAATTAGATTTATTTCACTTGTTTTTTTAAAGTTATTACCATTAAAGCATTATCCATCTTATACTATGTGGTAGTCTGTAAGATTGTATTGTATTGTATGTTGTATTTTAAGCTATTTAAAATAACATGAGTTATGATTTCCATTCTATTTTTTATCATACTTTCTGTATGACCTGATTCAGTAGGTCTTCTCATTACTTTCTGTTAGCCGTAGTTCTTTTTTGTTTTGTTTTGTTCTGTTTTGTTTTGAGACAGGGTCTCACTACGTAGTTCAGGCTGGTCTTGAATTCACTGTATAGTTCAGGTTGGCCTTAAACTCACAGAGGTCCTCCTGCCTCAGCCTTCCAAATGATGGGGATTACAGAAATGCACCGCCACACCTGGCTCTATGTCATCTTGTAATATTTCCTTTCTATATATTCTCATAACACTCTGAACTTATATTATTGTCCTTCCATATTCTCTTTTACATTAGTTTCATACTCATTTGCCTTCTCTATTTAACTATAGGCCCCTTAAGAACAAAGACCATATATCTTACTTTTCTTTCACCTTTCAATGACTAACATAGGAGGTTCTTAATTCTTATTTGAATAAATATAATTATTGGGCAAAAGAAATGGGCTCTGCACAAAGAAAATCATTTCAAATTAGAGAATAACTTCCATATATATGCCAAAGATATTTTGTCACATTGAGCTTAAAGAATTATTAGTCTAGAGTAGAATCATGAAGCTGGGTGTGGTGGCACATGCCTATAATAGCAGCATTTAGGAGGCTGAGGCAGGAGGATTACAGTGAGTTTGAGGCCAGCCTTAATTATGTAGCCAGACCCTTTCTCAAAAAACCAAACAAGCAAGCAAACAAACAAAAAATAGAGTAAAATCATGATGCGATATAGCACCATAGTATATTACAGATTTTTCATAGTTTAGTCAGCAAGTGTGTGTGGAGCCAAACTCTAGCTCCATCTACCCTTTGCTAAGAGCTAACAGAAAAACCAGAGTAAAAACTACTGTATGTAATTTCACAGGGGACATGAGTTGACTCATATAATGAATGGGTTTAACATCATACTTTATAATAAGGTAATATTAAAATATGTGTAACTGTGTTAAGGGAGAATAAAATAATGTGTAGGTTTTCATTTTATATTACTGTAACTTTATGAATATTCACATGGTTAAAAAGTACAAAGAAGGTATATAATTAAAAACAAGTCTTCTATCTCATATCTTGGCCCCCTTTCTCAAGAACAAATTAAGTTTCATGAGAATTTGTCTAGAAATAATTTTCTGTATATGAACTTGTGTGTTATGTATTAAAATAAGTATACCCATCCTTCTGTGCTTTTCATTTTCTTAATGTAAAATATATACAAAGTGTTTGGACTATGGCTGTGTGTGTGTGAAAGAACAAAAGCAAAATTATGGTAATACATACCATGACAGCTTAAGAATGGAACGTTAAGCATTGGGGGTGTAGCTCAGTGGTGGAGCTCTTGCCTAGCAAGCCCCAGACCTTGGGTTCCACCCACTACCACACACAGAAAAAAAGAATTTTACCTTTAGTTTCACAATCAGAATCTCCTTTCCACAATATACACTTTCTTACTTTCCTTTACTCTGTGTATATGTCTCAAAATAATGCATGATTTTTCTTGTTTTTAGCTCTGGTAAAATGTGTGTGCTAGTCTTTGGTGACTTCCTTCTTTTGCTTTATAATGTTATGATTTTCAGATTCCTTTATATTGCTATATGTATCTGAAGTCTCTTCATTTTTACAGCTAAATAATATTTCAGTGTTGCTTATATATTTGTGTTTTTTCCCTACCATCTTAAATGGTTTCTTTTTGTCCTATTTTTCTGTCTTCTTTCTCCTCCATTTCATCTTTTTACTGAAGTGTTTTTTTCTTGTTTCACATCTTTTTTCCTGTACTTCTTTGCAACTTATGCCATCTATGCCTTTTAGCAATTGTATAGGTATTTTTATTATAAGAAGCTTAAGCATTTTAACTGTAATCACTTTGATCCAACTTATATTATCTTGTTTTGCAATTCTATAATTATACCTGATGCCCTCCAATAAATTAGGAATTTTAGGAATTATTATTGTTTATATACTTAATATTTGTTTAGATTTACGCACGTATCTTTACCATTTCTTCTTGTTTTTTGTTTTTTTTGGTTTTTCTCCGGTACCGGGAACCGAACTCACGACCTTGCGCTTGCCAGGCAGGCGCTTTTGCCGCTGAGCTAAACCCCCAGCCCCTACCATTCCTTCTTATACCATATTGATCCATTTGGGATTTTTTGCCTTCCTTTCTGGCTAATTTGAACACCTCTTCTTCTGCATTGTTGGCGTGAGTTTCTTCTTTATGTCCTACTTGAGATTTGATGGGCTTCCTGGGCTTGAAGATAGTTATCTTTTTTAAAAGATAGTTATCTTTCAACAGACAACTCTTGGAAGATTTTAGCCACAATCTCTTCAAATATTCCTCTTCCCCATCTCCTCCGCTACTCCCTTTTGAAACCATTTAAATATGTTATACCTCACTCTGTCTCCCATGTCACTTATCTTTGACATTTTGTTTGTTTCTCTGGACTATACTTTGGATAATTTTTTTTTATTTACTAATTTTATCTTCATGTGTCTAGTATGCTAATTTCATTATAAAATTTTTGGTTTTTACATGTCCTTCCCCACAACCTGTACTGGGGATTGAACTGAGGGCTTTTACACTTAGCTACATCCCCAGCCTTTAAGACATGGCCAAGTTTGAACTTGCAATCCTTCCTTCCTCAGCCTCCCAGAGTGCTGGAATTACAGGTGTGTGGTACCACACCTTGCTCTTATTTTGTAATTTTTCAAATGCACTTGTCCCCTTATATTATCAAGGTAATTTTAATTTTTTACACATATGAGACAGTTATTTTTATATTGTCTGTTAATTCCAGTGTCTTCAGACTCCATAGTCTGTTTCTGCTCAAGATGCCTTGTTCCTTGTATATTTTGTAATATTTTGTTGTAAATTACCCATTTTTCCTGGAAACTTGTCTGTGGGGGGTTTGTATGATTTCTGAAGGGAAATCTGTTCCATCCTGACCTTCATTCCTGTTTTTTAATCACTGGTTTGTGGTGTACCTTGGTATAATTTTCTTCGCATTTCTTCAGCTTTGGGGTCCATTTATCTCCTTTTTAGATTTATGATTTTTATCAAATTTTGAATTTTTATTTTGGGTACTGGAAATCCAAACTCAGGACCTCACACTTGCCAGGCAGGTGCTATACCACTGAGCTAAATCCCTAGCTCCAAATTTTGAAATTTTTAGCCATTATCTTCAAATGTTTTTCTGCCCACCTGCCATCTTCAAGAGACTCCACTTTCACCTTTATTAGATTTTTCAAAGTTATCCCACACCTATCTATGGTCTGTTCATAATTTTAATTTTTCTGTGTGTTTCATTTTAGATAGTTTCTATTGCTGTGCCTTCAATTCACAATTCTTTTCTTTTGCATTGTTTAATCTGTTATCTCATTTAGTGTATTTTTCATTGTATATGCTAGTTTTTCTCTCTAGAAGGACATTTTTAGTTGCCTACTTTTCTGAGTATGTGGAATATTTATGACTATTTTAATATCCTTAGGTGTGTGAATTTGGACTGGTCTTGGTGGGGATTTTTTCTTATTATGGTTTGTGTTTTCTTCTATACATGCCTCATTCCCCTCAAGTATTCTGCAAAATAATGATTCTCATATGTGTATAAGGAAACTGCCTGAGTATACAGAAAAAGAATAAGAAAAGACCAGGGGGAACAGTGTCTTCTTTACATTCATTCTCAGAGGGCTGGAGGAAATAGTTTTTTTCACAGTCAGACTGAAGACATGGAGAAAAGTATTCCAGACGGTCTTGCCTTAGCAATGGGGGGGTTATTAGCCCAGAATGAACCTTGCTATAGATCCACCTAAGAAATCTTATACTCATTGCCTGAAGAACTAGATTGTTTCCTAATTACTGCCTCCCAGAACAAAGCTCAACATTTATAGGGATACAAAACTACCCAAAATTCAACAAACTAAAGTTCACCATATCTCTATGTTTGTTGTACATTTCTTTATGAGCAAGGCTGAACATCTTTTGTGTTTATATGCCATTTGTATTTCTATTTTGGTTGCCATTCTTGTTCGTACTCATTTGTTTTTTGGATTGTTGGTCCTCTTTGTTAGGTATCTGGCTAATACAGTTGAAGAAGATGAAGAAGAATCCAAATATGAAATTTTTCCGTGGGCTTTAGGGAAAAACTGGAGAAAATTATTCCCTAATTTCTTAAAGTTAAGGGACCAGCTCTGGGATAGAATTGACTATAGGGCTATTGTAAGCAGGCGGTGCTGTGAGGAGGTAAGGATTTAAAAATATTTCATTTATGTAGTCTTTGTCTTTTGTTTATCTAATTTTCCTTGTTTTTTAATGTGCTTCAGATGCTTCTTCCTTTCTTGTATATATAACGATAGGTCATTAACACTGCTTATTACTGTAAGTACACCTTGTGTATTACAATATTGTTATTTGAATTTTATACCACACTAATTAAAAATTGTCATTTGTTTTTCAGAGCAGGCTACTTCTGCAGTGAGTATTTTTATGTTAGTGTGCCTTTCCTATCTGAAAGATCACCAGTATATTGGTAAAGAATGGCTTAGACATACCAAAATATCTTACTGAAGGTTGTAACAGTTTCCACTAAAGTATAAGAAATTCCAAATTATTAAGATTGAAATACAACATAGTATATAATTTAAATAAATTACAGCCCAGATGTGCTGCCTCACATAGCATTTGGCAGGCTGAGGCAGGAAGATTGCCATGAGTTTGAGGCCAGCCTGCATTACATAGTTCAAGGTCATCCTGAATTATATAGCAATACACTGTTTCAAAAAAGCAAAACTAACTCAGGTGGCTGAGGCAGGAGGATCGTGGCAAGTTCAAGACCTGTTGAGGGTACAAAGTGAACTCAAGGCCAGCCTGAACTGCACAGTGAGATCCTGTCTCAAAAAAAAAAAAAGCAAAAATAAATAAACAAATAAATTTATATATGTTTGAAAACCATACTACTTTTCACAAATGTCTTAGTTACTTTTCTCATTGCTGAGACAAAATACCTGACAACCTAAAGTTAAAGAAAAAAAGGTTCATTTACCTCACATTTTATAGAGGTTTCAGTCCATTATCAACTGGTTCCAAGGCAGTTAAGCATGGCAGAGAGGCATTGCAGAGGAGAAACAGTTCATAGCAGGCAGAAGGTAGCAAAACAATCAAGGGACCTTAAGAGCATCTTTTTGCCCCTTTTATCTTATCCAGGCTACTCAGGGCAGGTAGCACTCACACTCCTTAATCCTAGTACCCTTAAGCCTAGCCTTGCACCATGAATCAGTCCCAGTGTCACACACTCTAGATCCAGCCACCTCTGAAAAAGCCCCACCAAGGGGCTGGGGGTGTAGCTCAGCAGCACAGCGCCTGCTTGGCAAGCATGAGGTCATGAGTTTGATTCCCAGTACCAAAAAAAAAAAGAAAAAGAAAAATGAGAAAGCCCCATCTATAGCCACATGAGGCTTTGGGGGGAACATCTAAACACAAGCCATAACAACACAGACTACATTAAATAAGTTTCCTTAGTGTCAGATTTTTTAGGGGGGCAGATTTTATTAAGAGAAACCAGGAAGACACAAAAAATTTAAAAATCAGTTATTTTATCAAATACTTGGGGGTTTTGTTTTGTTTTCTGGTTTTTGAGACAAGGTTTCACTATGTAGTTCAGGTTGGCATTATATTCACTATGTAGCCCAGCCTGGCCTTGAACTTACAGAGAGCCTCCTGTCTCAGCTTCTTGAGTGCTATGATTACAGATGTGCCTCACCACACCAAGCACTGTTCTGGTTTTTAATAATGCTTCAAACTAAATAAAAATGCTAGCAAAATTAAATGGAAAGCAGTGATCACTGTAAACTCTTGTACTAATTCAAAAATATTGACAAATATGCCTAGGTCTGTAAGTGAAAATCCTATCTAGTTAAATAACTCCAAGCCAAAGAAGCCAATTAATGGATCTATGTCAAACCTGAATGAAGACATAAGTGGTAGGTCACAGGATTCTGCCCAGGACTAACCTTGTGAATTATATTAATAGGATGAAGACATACCAAACATGTATATTTATAGACTAAATTTTATCAGAATTTTTGACTCCTAGGAGAAATGTAAGTTTTCAGAAATAACTTAGAAGACTACCCAGCAAGCCAAGCCTGTTCAAGATTAAGTTCAATAGCCAGATGTGGTAGTGCATGCCTGTAAAAGCAATACACAGGAGGCTGAGGCAGGAGGATTGTCCGTGAGTTCACAGCCAGCCTGGGCTACATAGTGAACTCAAGGCCAGCTTGAACTACACAGTGAAACCCTGTCTCAAAAAAAGAAAAAAAAAGATTAAATTCAATAGGAAAAGATGAAAAGTTGGCATACGAGTCCCCCTCAAATTAACAGATCCTCATTACTTGTTTTTTTGGTTTTTGGTTATTTTCCAATACCGGGAATCAAACTCATGACCTCACACTTGCCAGGCAGGTGAGCTGTACCACTGAGCTAAATCCCCAGCCCCAGATCCTCATTACTTAAACTAGACTTATTCCCATTACAGAGCACTAAAAGAGTCCTAGTGTTTTGTTTATTTGGTTTGGTTTTTTTTTTTTAATTTTTGTCACTACCTCCCCCAGATCAAGACTGGATGATTTGTACACCTGTTGCCATCTTTAGAAGTGACAGGGCCATTTTTGAACATTTTTAACTTCTTCTAAGTAAAAGATTAAAGCTGTGGGATACTCAGATAAGGTCATAGTCAGATACTCAGATAAGGTCATAGTGTGGCACCAGAAGCAGGACTCCATGACTGGCAGTAGCACACCTCATGGTAGACTGCCCACACACTGTCTCAAGTACAGTGACTAGCAGCATCTCAACTGCAGCCATGTCCATATGTGCTATTAGCACTAGAATTTCCTCAGCTGCTGGCACCAGACTATAAAGAGCCAAAGACAATGGTATGACTTGATTAGTGTGAATGTGAAAGACAAAAAAAAAACCGAAAAGGTGTAGGCAGCTGAAAAGTTAGTTATATAATGGAACTTAGAGGAAAATGTAGATTTAGGCTGCAGAAAAGAGGAACCAATCATGAGGCTATAAAGTATTGCACCTGCTTCTGCATACCATACTTGAAGAGCATTGACCAACAACTGTATACCTAGAGAAGGGCAGCTAGAATAGTGCAGGGTCTCAAGAAAGCTGTCACAGTATGACTAGGAGACCTTTCCTTTCTACCTGTGTAAAGCAATATCTAGCTTAACTGAATAGGATTGAAGACTCAGGAAGCTCACTGACTCTCACTCCCCATTCCTGCCTCCCCTTAAAAGATTGCAGAGAAAATTCAGCAGGGAGCAAGGCACAACAGCACATGCCTCCCTGCTCCTGGGCTTATGGGCATCTGAGGTAGGAGGATCATAAGTTCAACGTCAGCCTGGCATGGTGGTGCACACCGGTAGCCAAGCCTGGCACTCAGGAGGCTGATACAGAAGAATGGCTATGAGTTTGAGGCCAGCCTGGGCTACACAGTGAGTTCAAGGCCAGCCTGAGCCGAACAGTGAGACTCTTATCTAAAATAACAATAATAATAATAATAATAGTAATTTAATAAGTTTGAGGCCAGAAAAATTTTAAAAGTGTAGCTTAGTGATACGGTGCTTCCTTGCATCATAAGGTGCTGAGATTAGTCCCCAGTGAAAGTGTTCAGAGTTGCTCAATAGCAGAAGCAGCACTGAAGACAGAAATAAAGCCTGGGGCAAAAAAAATTAGAGAAAGCCTTCTATAGGAGAATCAGAAGTTCAATTTGAAGCATGATAAGTTTGAAATATCAGACAATGAAATAAGAACAGGCAATTTTATATGGATTGGGAGATATCTATTAGCTACCCCTGTCAAAGCTGGGACAACTGACTATGCAAAGAAGAATAAAATTGGGCCTCTACTTTATATTATATGTAAATTTAACCCAAAATGGATCAAAGACTTAAATGTAAGAGTTAAAACTAAAATTTTTAGAAGAAAACAGATCTTTATGACTTTGTTAGGTCTCTTAAATATGATACCAAAAGTACAAGCAACAAAAGAATATATGGACTAAATGGATGTTATCAAAATTTTAAACTTCAAGGCAGGCATAGAGCTACATGCCTATAATCCCAACATTTGGGAGGCTAAGGCAGAATGATTACTGCAAGTTTGAATCCAGCCTGCACTACAAAGTGAGTTCAAGGTCAGCCTAGACTACATAGAGAAACCCTGTCCCAAAACAAAACAGAACAAAGCAAAACCTTCAAACAAAACCAACCTTCAAACATACCAAGTGAAATGAGAATTCATAAAAAGGGAGAAAGCTTTGCAAATCATCTATTTGATAAAGAACTTGTATCTAGAATATGTAAACAGGTCTTTCAGTGATTAAAACAGCTAAAAATTGGGCAAAAGATCTGAACAGAAATTTCACCAAAGGTGTTCTACCTCATTAGCCATCAGGGCACTACAGATCAAAACCACCATGAAGCTAGGCCTGGTGGCTCACGCCTGTAATCCTAGCACTCAGGAGGCTGAAGCAGGAGGATCGTTGTGAGTTCCCGGCCAGCCTGGGCTACAAAGTGAGCTCAAGGCCAGCCTGAACTGTACAGCAAGTCCTGCCTCAAGAAGACAAAAATAAATAAAACAAACAAAAAACAAATGAATAAGATCAGTAATTTTAAAAAAACCAATGTATTACTTCACACCCACTATGTTGTCTATGAATAAAAAGATAATGACAAAAATCTTGGGGAAGATGTAGAAACATTGAAACCCTTACACACTTTTGATAGGAATGTAAAGTGCTATAGTGGATTTGAATAAAAGTCTGATGGTTCTTAAAAATTATTATATAAAGTCACCATGTGATCCAGGAATTTTCTTTGCTATATACCCAAAAGAAATGAAAACTATGTTCACATAAAAACTTGTACCCAAATGTTCATGGCATTGTTACTTGTAAAGCCAGAAGTGGAAACAATTTAAATGTCTGTCGGCTGATAAATAGATAAGCAAAATATTTAATGAACTATTTTTTGAAAGTTAAGTACCAATTAGTTAAGTATCAATAAATTAAGTATCAACAAAGTACCAGTGTAAGCTCTGATGAACCTTGAAAACAAATTAAGTGAAAGAAGCCAGTTGCAAGGAACCACCTATGTATGATCCCATTTATAAAAGTTGTATAGAATGGACAATCTATAAAAAGACAAAGTAGGTTATTGCTGGGTGTCGTGGTGCACATCTATAATCCCAGCACTCTGGAGGCTGAGGCAGGAGGAGGGGTGAGTTCAAGGCCAGCCTGAACTATGTAGTGAAACCCTGTTCCAAAAAAAGTAGATTATTGGCTACTAGGGACTGAAGACAGGGAAGAATGGGACTGGTTTATTTTTGGGGTGATGAAAATGCTCTAAAATTGATTATGATAATTTTATATAATTCTGGGTCGTTACTTAATTGTACATTTCAAATAGATGAATTGTATGATCTTTGAATTATATCTCAATGAATCTGTTTATAGAAGTAGTACTTCTCACTATAATTCTGTATTTCCTTTCTCAGTTCATTTTTATCATAGCATTTAAGAAACATGTAATATACTCTTTTTACATATTTATCCACCTGTTATCTTCTATTTTCTCCCTCTAAAATATAAACTCTGTCTGGGGACATAGCTCAGTCTAGCTGTGTGCAAGGCCCTCACTTTAATCTCAGCACTGGTAAAATTTTATATATATATATATATATATATATACACACACACACACACACATATTTATATATGTATATACACTTTTATATGTATATATGTTTTATATATGTATATTTTTATGTACATATATGTAGTTTTTAATATATTTCTTCTGGTTTTTGAGACAGGGTCTTAATATTGCCCAGTCAGGCCTAAAACCCTTGGGCTAAAGGGATCCTTATTCCTCAGACTCCTCATTTTATACAAAACTATGTAAATTTATATATTTATATATATATATATATATTTTTTTTTTTCCCCCAAGAGGGCATAGTCTTTATTGTGTTCTTATTGTATCACCAGTGCCTAGAACAGGGTCCAGCACAGTGAGTACTCAGAAATATTTGTTAATGGATAGAATACCTGAAACTTAAGACTTGCAATTCTTTTTCATACCTTCTTATTCACGAAGCATAAAAAATTCTTCACTGTGCTCACTATTTGCCCTGTCCCTTACCACAGGGCAGCAAGATGAGCTGCTGCTTTTCCAACTAGGTACATTTGAAACATATTAGTATATTGAAAGGCAATTACTGAGTAAATTTTTATTCTGTAAGTATTTGACAGCTGGTTTATGAATAACATTAAGCTCAGTGTTGGGGATGGGGAGGTTATTATAAAAATAATTACATTAGCTCTGTCGATGTTTATTAAAGTAGCAGATAAATTATGTTAGAAATTCAGTTTAAGTGTTTTTTTGTTTTGTTTTTTGAGAAAGTGTCTCTCTTTGTAGTGGAGGCTGGCCTTGAACTCGCTGTGTACCCCAGGCTGGCCTCAAGTGGTCCTCCTGTCTCAGCCTCCTGAGTGTTGGGATTACAGGCTAGTCAAGCATTTTATTCATTTGTTTTTTTTTAAATTTTTTTCTTGGCTGAGTGTGATGGTACATGCCTGTAATCCCAGGACTCAGGAGGCTGAGGCAGGAGGACTGCTGCAAGTTTGAGGCCAGCCTGGGCTATGTAGTGAATTCAAGGCCAGCCTAAGCTACACAGTCAGACCCTGTCTCAGAAGACAAAAACTAAAACAAATTTTTTTCTAATTTTTATTTTTTTGTGGTCCAGAATTTTATTTTTTAATAGTGTGTTTGTAGTACAAATAGTATGTTTGTATTTTTAATAGTATAATTTGTAGTACACAATGATGACAATCATTGTGAGGAGTTGGTAGAAGTACATAACATTTTAATTCTTTTTATATTCTCCCCTTGGTCCCCTTTTTATTTGCAGAAGACTAACGCTGTTTCCTATCCTGAAACTTTTATTTTGCTCTTTTGTTTTCTTCTCTTTTTTTTTTGAGACAGGGTCTTGATATGTATCCCAGGCTGGCCTTGAACTTGCCATGATCCTCCTGCGTCAACCTTCTGAGTGCCGAAATTATAGACATGCATCACCGCATCCAACTATTACATGTTTTTAGTTGAAAATTTATTTGAAGGATTTAAGAAATGGACTATAAAATAAATTTAGTCTTAAAATATACTCTATAGGCTGGAGATATAGTGCAGCAGGCACAAGTACCTGCCTGGCAAGTGCAAGGTGCTGAGTTCGACTCTTAGTACCCCCCCTCAAAAATATATATATACGTACACTTTTAAAATGTAGCACAGGGGCTGGTGTCTATGTAGTTCAATGGTAGAGCATTTGCCAAGTATGCATAACAGTGTGGTTCTAAGCACAGGACTGGTAAAAAAAATAGCGTTCTTTATTCCATTATCTTGGGAGAAGTCATAGTAACCCTATTTTCTCAAGGAGCTTGTTTAACAAGTCTAAATTTTTCAAATTTTAATAGGAAAGTTTCCTAATCCCCAAAATTGAGCTGCTCTGCCTTGTCCCTCCAAGGGCCACTAATATACCTCTTAAACTTTAAGGGTTTTGAAACACTTGGAAAAAATCACTGGTCTAGGCAAATAATAAGGCTCTGTGTAGCCCTTAAATGTTATAATTCTCATTCACTTTGGGTTTTAAGTAACTGCAACTAAATATTTTTGCTAGACTGCACAGAAGTTTTAGACTTCATGAAATCAGCACAAGGTACATTTTCTATGCTTTGATTTCTTAAATAACTGTCACTTCCCTGATACTAATATCTGGTAAGGATTTTACCCATGTATGTCATCTAATCTTCAGAACAGTTTGTCGTATATAGCATCACTATTTTAGAGATAAAGAATCTGAGCCGGGGCTGGGGATTTAGCTCAGTGGCAAAAGCGCTTGCCTGGCAAATGCAAGGTCGTGAGTTCGGTTCCTGGTACCAGAGAAAAACCAAAAACTAAAAAAAAAAAAAAAAAAAAAGAATCTGAGCCTTGGGGCTGGGGATTTAGCTCAGCGGCAAAGCGCCTGCCTGGCAAGCGCAAGGTCGTGAGTTTGGTTCCCGGTACCGGAGAAAAACAAAAACAAAAACAAAAACAAAAAAAAAGAATCTGAGCCTCACAAAGCTTAAATGACTTGCTCAGTAGCATACAGCTACTAGTGGCAAAGCCACGATAAGAAACTAAATCTATCCCAAATCTAAAATCAGTCTTATAAAACAATTCCTGAGATCCAGGTATGGTGGCACATGCCTGTAGTCCCAGCACTTGGGAGGCTGAGTCAGGAGGGTTGCTGTGAGATCAACACCAACATGAACTACATAGTGAAACCCTGCCTCAGAAAGAAAGAATCACATCCTCTTTTGAGCCAACTATCTTTCCTATGATTGAAATATTCCTTTTTATTTTGCTTTTTTTGAGACTGGGTCTCACTCTGTAATTCAGGCTTGTTTTAAACTCATTATGTAGCCCTGGCTGGCCTCAAACTCATAGTGATCTTCCTGCCTTAGCCTCCCCAGTGCTATGAGTACAGGCATGCACCACCACACCTGGTCAGAATTTTTTTAAAATAAACATCCTAAAAACTTGCAAGTTTGCTTCATTCTATTTCCTGTTTGAAATAATTTACTTTGTCAATTATTGTCTTAATGATTCAAGCAATCAGTAGCTTTACAGTAATGTCTTATCTGGAGATGTTTTGTTATTGTTGTCTAAATTGGTGAGTTAGATCTCACATTAAGAAACAGCTTTTTTTTTTTTTTTTTTGGTCTTTTTTGAGACAAGGTCTTGCTATGCAGTTCAGGCTGGCCTTGAGCTCACTTGGTTGCCCAGGCTGGTCTTGAACTCACAAAGATCCTCATGCCTCAGCCTCCTGAGTGCTGGGATTACATGCACCACCACACCTGGCCCAGAAACAGCTTTTCTGAGTTATAATTGTTGCTCTTAATTTTACTAGAATCTAAAAGTGAGCTTTCCATTATAGGTCATGGCCATTGCACCAACACATTATATTTGGCAACGAGAGCGTTCTGTACATCACAGTGGAGCTATCAGAAACTACAACAGAGAGCAAGTTCAGCTGCCCCGGGGACCTAGTGCCACGCCAGTAGATTGCTCACTCTGCGGTAAAAAAGGAAGATACGTTAGACTCGGATTGTCTTCATCATCATCTTCATGCAGTGACATGGGAGAGCTGATGGAAAAACACTCTTGGGAATCCCACAATCCATTATCAATGGACATAATAGGTGACCCTTCTCATTCTTCTAGTTATTCTCAAGGTATGATTTAGTAATAAGACAGAATTAGATTTATGCATGTTATTTATTGAGCTGTAGTCAGTACTTGCAGGCAGGGATACATCATAATTTATACACAAAGCAGGGAATTAAATTAGGATTGAGTTTTCCTCTTTTCAGTTACCACTTTTTGTCTTGTGTGATATCCTACATAAAATAAAAGTTTTATTATGACATGTTAAATTGCAACCTAATACACCATAAGCCTTGAATATTAGAACCTGAACCATTTCTTTGAAATGTTTACTTTATCCAAAAAGAATTTAAAGAAGAAATAAATTTATAATCTCACCATCCAACTACTTGTTTCCTTCTACATACTTACCTATTTCTAACAAAATTGGAACCATCTGTATTAGGCCAGCTTTTTTGCTATGTATCACAAAGCACTTTCTTGTGTCATTATTTAATCTTTGAAAACTTCATTTTTAATCCTGGCATGGTGTAAGTACCATAATTCAGTTGCATATTTCATTTTTGTAGAGATTTAAGTGCTACAAACAGTATATTATTTAGAAAGTAATTTCATTAACTGGAAATACAACCACATCACAATTTTCAAGTTATTTTTATATAGTATTTCTCTGACACTTCCAGATTTGAAGTAATATTAGAATAATGATAATGATCCTTTGTACTTCTTATAAAGCCTTTCTTCCAGATTTCATGCATCTGAAGATAGGACTTCGATTTCTTTTTTTTTTTTTCCTTTTTTTCTGAGACAGGGTCTTGCTGTGTAGTTCAGGCTGGCCTTGAACTCACTACGTAGCCCAGACTGTCCTTGAACTTGCAGCGATCCTCCTGCCTCAGCCTCCCAAGTGCTGGGATTAGAGGCGTGGACCACCACACCTGTCCAGAACTGAGATTTCTTATGGTTCTTTCTAACCTGTCATGAGAAGTTAACAAATCTCATCATGAGTGGTGGCCTGCAACCTATCTATTCAGGAAGCAAGGAGAATCTCATATTCAAGGCTATCTTTTTTTCCTTTTTTTTCTTTCGTTTTTTTGAGACAGGGTTTTTCTATACAGTTCAGGCTAACCTTGAACTCACTTTGTAGCCCATACTAGCCTCAAACTCACAGTGATACTCCTGCCTCAGCCTCTGAGATTACAGGCATGCACCACCACGCCTGGCTGAGGAACATTTTGAGTGAGGTATGGTGGTTCTCGCCTGTAATCCCAGAATTCTGGGAGGCTGAGGCAGGAGGATCAAGAAAATCAAATCAAGAATAGAGCCCAGCCTAGGCAATTTAATCACCTAGGGAGATCCTTTCTCAGAATTTCAAAAAAAAAAAAATGTTTAAAAAGGGCTGAGGATGTAGCTCAGCACTCCTGGGTTCAACCCCTGTAGAAAAGGAAAAGAAGGGAGGGTAGGAGGGTGCGAGGGTGGAAGGAAGGGAGGGAAGGAGGGAATTTAACAAACCTGCATTACTACACAATTTTTACTTACTTTTTGCACTTCTCTATGAGAGTGAAAATGATATTTTTATTTGTATTAGTACATGTTCACAGTATATAATGAATACATTCATCATGGAGAGTTGGTACATATACATAATGTTAGGTAAAAAGGAGGAAAAAACAAAGGCATGAGCTCAACAGGACAGTTTTATTGAGGACAAACCTGAGAGGGACCACTTGGACCAGACCAATAACATTCATACAGACTTCCAGGTCTTTTACATGGTCACGAGTATAAAGGGTGAGCTGTGGAGGGAAAAGTTCAAAATGGCCCATTCAAGGGAGAGAGTTCAGTGGAATGGGGCTGGGACTCCCGCCAGGGACAAGGCTTGAGGAATGAATACAGGAGTGTCAGATGCCTGCCAAGAGCAGGGCTGAAGAATGTGATGGGAGTTATGGGTGTAGCCATGGTCACTGGACCTTAGGAACACCTGATCATACATGGTGTAAAAGCATAGCGGGATGGAAGATGCTTAAAGTGGCCTCCGGTAAGCCAAGGTTGGTGGCGGTTGGACTCCTTCAATTAGCACATCATCATTCGTTTCACATCCCTTTCTTCTCTCCACCCTCCTCCATGAGAGTAACAAGGATTGATGAAAATTTACTAAAGGAGAAACTACCAGTGATGGCGAACCTTTTAGAGCCTTCAGCGATACAAACAGCCTGCTGTGGCGTGCGTGCTGTAGGTCCACCACCACTGCTCTAGACCCTAGAAGGTAGAAGTTATGCCTCAATACCTATCCCTGGACATGGTGATCACTCAACAAATTTGGCTGACAATATAGTTGTTTCTTTTCAACACCTCCAAGCATAATTTCTGTTGTTTCAATAATACATTTGAAGGTAAATGGGGTTAGGGTCCACCCTAGGCTAAATCATAAGGTAGTAATTGGCCTTTTAACATCCCTCCCTTGTCTCCTCGCTCCTATGTTTACATGTTTTGACTCTCATTGTAGCTAAGAATTACTATACATTTAAAATGTCCCAGGGCCGAGGATATAGCTCAGTGGCACAAGCGCCTGCCTGGCAAGCACAAGGTCCAGAGTTCAATTCCTGGTACCAAATAAATAAATAAATAAAATGTTCCAGGCAAGCAGGTGTGATGGTACATGCCTGTCATCCCAGCACTTGGCAGGCTGAGGTAGAAAGATTGCCATGTGTTCAAGGCCAGCGTAGACTAGTCAAGGACAGCCTAAACTACATAGTAAGACCCTGCCTCAAAAAAAAAAAAAAACAAGAAAAAAATATAATAGGCAATACAGTAAGCAATTTATATTCACATTATTTAGTATTCACAGCCAATCATAAGCTGGCCTGGTGGTGCACACCTGTCATCCCAGCACTTGGGAGGCTGAGGCAGGAGGATCACTGTGACATCGAGGCCAGCCTAGACTTTATAGTTAGCTCAAGGCCAGCCTAAACTACATAGAGAGATCCTGTTTAATAAAATAAAAGAAAAACAACCAGAGCCAACAATACAGTAAATACTATTATCTCTGCTGGACAGATAGAGAACCTGAGGTTTAGAGAGGTTAAATAATTTGCCCAAGGTGAACAGAGTAATATTTGAACCTTGTCTCTAACTCTAGACAAGACCCTGAATTCTTAGCTCTTTTTTTAGCATTTCAATATTTAATCAGTATATTAAAATTGCTGATGAAATACATGTATTAACTATATATTTGCATGTTATATACTTGTATCAATGTGTAAGAAGCACATACATGTTTATATATTTTATATATGTATATTTACATGCTTTTTTAGAACTAAGTCTCTGAAATCTGGTATTCTTTTTCAAATCCGAAGTTTTATTTACTTGACAAAAAAATAAAGAAATATGGAGAACCCTAGTTAGTGAAGTCTAAAGCTTATACACTTTTAAAAAGCTGCCAAATATTACAGACAGTACAAAATGCACAAATACAATGCAGTATTTTGATTAATAAAGCAAAACTCCTCTAGGAAATTTTTTCATTTTCCTGTTACCTATCTTTTATTTTGCTCTTTATATTTAGGTTTCTCATGCATGGTTCTCATAAAACCATGTGATTTTTAAGCTTGTGTGTCTGATTTATTTCAGTTAATATTATAGCCTCAGGATATACCTACTTTCCTACAAATGACTTGAATTTATCCTTCTTTATGGCAGAGAAATACTCCATTATGTATAAATGCCACATTTTCTTTATCCATTTATCTGTTGATGAACATATAGGCTGCTTCCAAGATTTAGTTACTGTGAATTGTGCTGCTGTGAACATGGGTATACATGTATCACTGGTGTGATCTCTCTGACTCTTTAAGAAAGATAACTAGAAGGGGAATACATGCATCAAATGGAATTTCTAGTTCTAGCTTTGTGAGGAATCTCCAGGCTGATTTCCATTGTGGTTATACTAGTTTACATTCCCATAAACAATGTAACAGAGCTTCTTTTTTTCTCATAGCATCTACAGCACTTATGTTATTATTTGATTTCTTGATGATAGCCATTCTTTCCAGAGTAAAATGGAACCTCAGTGTTGTTTTCCTTTGCATTTCTCTAATAGCCAGAGCTGCTGGATGTTTCTTCATGTTTATTGGCCATTTGTCCTTCTTCTGAGAAGTGTTTCTTCATTTTAGTTGCTCATTTTTTTGTTCAGTCTTTTGTTCTGAGATCTTAGTTTTTTTAGTTTTTTCTTTTCTTTTTTTTTTTTCGGACAGGGTCTTGCTTTGTAGCCCAGGCTGGCCTTAAACTTGCAGTGATCCTATCCTCATGCTCCAGCCTCTCCTGAGTACTGGGCTTACAGGGATGTGTTACCACACTGAGCGTTTTTGAGTCGGTCACATAAATATATTCTAGATATTAGTCATCTGTGCAATGAATACCTGGCAAAAAAATTTTTCCCATTCTGTAGGTTGTTGCTTCATTCAGTTGTTTCCTTTCCTGTGCAGAAGGGTTTTTTTGCATTTTTTATTTGTAAATTTTACACATAAATAATAACATCCATTGTAGGGAATTTGTACCTGTACGTGATATATCTTCTTTTTTTCCCATTCCGTTCCTCTCACTTCAACCCTTCACCCTTTCCTTATGTACAAAGGATTTATTTTCATTTTTTCCTTCTTTTCTCATTTTTTGCTTTTTCCTTCCTCCCCATCCCCACTTCCCCTTCTCATTTGAACCTTTTCTTCTCATTTCCCAATATCTATTATACACACTGATCTTTATTTAAACTTTCAGTTTCTTACACCAGAGAAACAGTGCAGTATTTAAACAGGTGTGTCTGATTTATTTCACTTAAGAGCATGGTCTGAGAGTATGTTTCCATTGAATAAGTGGTCACAGTGGACATCCTTGTAAAAGTTCCTGATTTTAGTGTGAAAGTTCTTGGGTTTTATCCATTTAGTATGTTGGCTGTTGGTTAGTCATATATGGCTTTTATCAGATGAGATAAAGACCATCTATTCTAATTTTCTGTAAAGTTTTTGTCATGAATGGATGTTGGACTTGGTCAAATGCTTTTTTCTGCATCTAT